CAAAAAGTTGTTTCATAATTATTGTATTTTGTTTTAAAATAATACAGGATTATTGTGTAATTGTTTTGTATTGTTTCAAAACAAAAATAAACAAAAATAACCAAAATAAATTCAAAAAATATAAAACTGTAAAAACTACACTTTTTAATAAAATTTGTTAATTATAAATAGTTTTACAGTTATCATTGAATAAAAATTGTTTAACCAAATAAAAAACTTAATGTAATTATAAGTCTTCACGTAAAAACACTTTACGAGTCACTACTTCGCTTCTTCCATCATATTTTTGTTCTTGATATTACGACACATCGTTGACGCATTAACAACTTCATTATCAAGTTCTTCCACCGTTCCAGTTTTCCCATTTCTTCTTCAAAATGAGTCCTATTGGTTTCTCCGAGAGTTTTCTTTCAATTGACACTTTTAGCGACCACAGAAAAAAGTGCTGAACTATATTTAAACTTTCTTCCTTTTTTGGTTTTGATATATTTTCTCCTTTTGCCAACTGTCCCAATAACCTCTTAAGTGATGACTCACCAATGCGGGGTTTCTTTTTATGATACTTCCAGTCTCGTGCCTAACCATGTTCAGTATATTCTTCTGTTAGCGTCTTCCTCTGTGTTTCTGTTACAACTACGTATATCCTTTTGATCTTTTCCTCCTCCGATTGTTGGACTGTGTGAACAATTGACGAAGGCGCGAGTGAGACCAACGAGGCAACAATATCTTCAGCTAATCTTCTTTCTGTTATTTCGAGTGGTTGTGGTGCTTCTGCAACTGGTGAAACCTCTTCATAGTTGAGGAATCCATCGACTTTATCTCGGTGGATGAACTCAAAAGAAGCGATTGCCATTACTTTATTTTTTATTTTTTAGTTTATAATTTTTTGAATTTATTTTGGTTATTTTTGTTTATTTTTGTTTTGAAACAATACAAAACAATTACACAATAATCCTGTATTATTTTAAAACAAAATACAATAATTATGAAACAACTTTTTGTTTTGGAACAATAAATTATTGATTTGAGGATAAATAAATAGTTCTGAAACACCCGATATTTATATGCAACAATAATGCCAATTATGCAACGATTACGCAAATTGTGCAACAAAAAATAATTATTTTGAAACAGGGCTGAACAAAGGTACAAATCTAATTGTTATGAAACAGAAATCTATTTGTTATGAAAAATAAGGAATTGTTGTGAAACTAACTGTAATTAAAAAATATATTTTAAATTCAAATAAGGGTAAAACAAAAACATATAATTGTCGAAAACATCAAGTTTCAAAGTCAATAAATATCTTATCCCCAACAAGTATGAAATAAAAATGGTTTAATAACAAGTGTTGTATAACACAAACAAAATTAAAAATTAAAAACCATAAAAAAAATACATTTGTTTATAACTGTTCAAAACATGATTATAATAAGTCACATCTCGTGTAAAACCATAAGAAGTGACATCGAATAATAATTTTGTTGAACAAGTTTGTGGAGTTGGCTTGTAATCGTTATCCATACATTTGGGTTCTAAATATAAAATATTTTTGTGTGATTTTGACCAATCAATTACAAACTTGAGGGGTTTTAGATATATACATTTCAATACATTTTTAGTATTGAACTGAAGTATCTTTAACAGATTAAATAACAATGAACAAAAATTAAGTGGTCTAAAAATTGGGAAATATCGAGTTTATTAAATAAATTGCCGTTTTTTAGTTCAATTTATGTTCATAAACAATACACAAACCAAAAAAATGAAAACCATCAAAAATTGTATTAATATCCCTGTAAAAGCAGGCCAAAACAAAAATAAGGGAGTTATTTAAAGTGTTAAAGTATTTTTTAAATTAAATTTAAAATTTTTCAAAGAAATTGAACGAAAATAATAAGCAAAAAAAATCATTCTTTTTAATTACTCAGTCTCTCTTTTTAGTATTACCCTTCTTTTTGTCTGCAGAGAAATTCTTTCTGACTTCTCCTTTTCTTTTGTCTTCTTTTTTCTGGTCTTTTTCTTCGTGTTTTTGGACTTTTTTAGTCTCGAAATTTGGTTCATTCTTTTTGACGTCATCCTTCTTCAACGTGATTTTCAATTTATTTTTCTCTCTTCGTTCTTCTCTTTCTTTTTCTTGTTTAGCTTTTTTGACGTAAGTATTTAAGAATTCCTCGTAGTCTTCTTTCTTTGTCTTTTTTTCAATTGGTTTTACTTCTTCTTTTTGTTTGTCTTCAACTTTTAATTCTTCTTTTAATTCCTTTTTCAACTCTTTTGGTTGACTCTTCTCACTCTTTTTAAACTTTTTCTCAGATGAATCGGGTCGTTCCTTCTTCTTTTCTTTTTCAAGTTGTTTCATCGTTCTCTTCTTCTCTTTATGTTTCAATTTCAACGCTTTGTTGCCCTCTTTCTTGTCATTTGTTCTCTCGTTTTTATGTTCTTCGCGTTGGGGGCACATTGAAGTCTTGTGGCCGTAATTCCCGCAGATAAAACACTTCTTAATTTTACTCCCGTTCGAATTGTAACACAGCACTTTGATTGTTCTTCCACTCACAACTTTCCCGTCCAAATCCTTCGACATCTCGTTGAGGGTTTCGTAGTCTTTAACCACAACAGTGACGTAGTCTCCCTTCAACTCGCCTTTAGTCTTCACTCCTTGTGTGACCTTTTTGACATCAAATTCGCTCAAAAATTCTTTAATGTCGTCTTCGTTCTTTTCAAGTGGATGAAATCCAAAGATCAATGTCTTCTTCGTTTCGTCGTGTTTGTCGAACATCATTTTGACTTTAGTTTCTTCCCATTCTTTGCCATTGATCTTTTCTATAATCTTTTCTGACTCCTTTGAAGAGCTCGTTTCTATTTTACACGAACTAATTGGAGTGTCAACAACGTATCGAGGAATGTCATATGAAATCGGATTGTACTTTGCACACAAAGCCTTGATATCCGCGTCTGAAGTATTGTAATCAAGGCCCCAAATGTTAACTGGAACGTTGTGGCGTGGGTGTATGAAAGCCATGAAATTAAATTATTAGTTTCTTATTAGTTACTTTATTATACTTGTTGAGGGTTAATCACTTTAATCCCATTTTGGGGTGTAAAATTAGTTGTTTTATTATTTATTTTAACAATTTTTATTATAATTAATAGATTAATTTATAGTAAAAAACAATTAAAAAAGTATTTAACGAGCTAAATATTGATCTGAAAATTAACGCAATTATTTTATAGATTTGAGTGTTTTGTGATATTAAAAACGACTGAATTTACTCATTAAATTTAATTTAATGTTAATTAATTTTTATATGTTAATTACATTTTTTATGTGTTGAAGTTTTTGAGTATCGACTCGACGAATCTCTTTGATCCATATGAAATGTTTGGTATTAGAATATCTCCACTGATTCAGTCAACACTTTTGAATATCACAAAATTGTTTTGTTTGCACCAGTACACATAATACTAATATAACTAAAACTCTATATCACTTTCTTTCTAATTTAAATAAGATGTACCTCTTGATTTCCATTACTCCAGAATACTCATTACAACAGAGAGTTGTTTTCCTATCTTTGTAATTAAACGAATTTATTCCACAGTGACACAGAATCATATGAGCCCGATTTTTTTTCAAGACTGTGACATCACCATTGCCGGCATCAAAGACTACATTGTCACATTTTCTCCCAATAAAAAACGCGAAGTTCTTCATCCGGTCTTTTATGTGATACTTCTCATAATTCACTGAACCAAATTGTCGCATCACAAACACAAAACAGTCGTCATCTTTCACAAACATCCCTTCCGCATTGACTCGCATGGATACACACACACCAAATAGGTTTTGTGTTAAATCCTGTATGACTATGAGAAACCCATTGTCACACATAGAAACAGCTTCTGAGAAATCACATAAATCCTTTTCACAATTATTCACGTCACTATTAAATAAACACTTTCCTACCTTTTTACTTGTCCATTTCAATATCTGAATTTTGTCCTGAAAAGTAAATAGTCCATCGCAATACATTTCTTTCCAAAACTGAGATTTTGAAGAGAATTTCTTAAGTCTTTCATTGTGTTGCAATGTCTCATTTTGCTCATTCTCTTGTTGAACAACGTTCAAATCCAAATCCACAATTTCATCGTCTTCATTTTGGTCTGAACTTGTCTTAGTCACTTTTGATTTTAAAAAATCTCTATTTCCTCTATTTATAAATTTTTAATATCATTTAATTCATTTTCTTCAGTGTTAATTGACGGTGTTTTAATGATATCTGAAGTCGGTTCTTCAACTTCCATTTTTAGTGTTGATTCTAATATAGTTTTAGGTGTTATATTGGTACACGACAAAGTTGGGTGTTCGATTGAATTCATTGACTGCACTGGAAATATCGAAGTCGCAATTTTAGAAGTAATCAAAAGTTCTCGTTGTTTGTATTCTTCCGTTAAAAATGCTTTCCGATACGAATTTTTGATTAATTCGTTTTCAAATTGTTCTTTTTCTTTATCTAATGATAATCGTAATAATTTGGTCTTAAATTCAGTTATGGCAATTCCATCATTTTCACATTGCTTTTGAGCATCTTTTAGTAACACTAAAAAATCGGCTATTGCGGCTATTGTTCTTTTTATTTTATTAAAAAAGTTGGTACATACAATTTCTGACTTTTCTTCATTACTTAATACATCATTCATGGTTCTGAGAGAATCACAATAACTCATTGTCGTTGTGTCTTCGGGTATTATTAAATTTGGAATTGTTTGATATTCGTTGGTCGCATTTTCTAATGATAATAAAAATGATTTAATATCATTAATAGTGACTATCAAATGATTCACAAGGTCGCTATTATTATTGACAATCATTTCATAATAAAGATAAGTAAAGTAGTTTTAATAGAAAGGTAAATGGTTAAGTGAAGTCTTCGTTTTGGAGATAATTAATTATACAAAATATTTCACTTTCTGAAATTTATTTTTATTAGTTATTGGTAAAGTCTGTTTTCTATTTAAGGGACCTACATTGACCACCACCACCACCTTTACCAAAAAAAATATTTGCCGCGAGTGTTTTTTGAAGGAAGTCCATTTTTCAGCCACTGTTTGTGCGTCCCCATGTCACCCACTTTCCTTGTCCGTACTGTGTGGACGCGGGCGTGGTTCCCCCCTGCTTGCTGGGGGGTCAGGGGGGATCCGCGCCAAGGGAGGACTTGGAAAGTTGGTGAAACGGTGGACAAACAGACTGTTTGAGTGTGTCTTTATGAGCCTTCTTTTCAATGCTCGGTCTCACTCGGTTTCCACTAAATCAAGGTGAATTTTCGGCATTTTTTGAATTCGGGAACCAGACCTAATATTATCCCAGTTTCCTATTTACTATAATTTTAATTTGAATATGATTCGAAATAGAAAAATAAATCTATTTTAAGAGGTGGTGGTGGTGGTCAATGTAGGTCCCGATTATTTAATTAAACCCTGATTATACTGCACATTTTTATTTCTTTTTTAATATACAATTAAATACAATATTGGCGTTTTTAATCATTAAATAACAAAGTATAATACAACTTAATAACTATAAACTAAGTAGATTTATATATTGTTTCGAGTTTATCTAAAATATTTTCTGTTAAACTTCTCTTTTTTGGTTCATTGTCCCAACACCCGACAATGATATTGTATACACCTTGACTCATTTCATCTGGCTTTGGCAATCGCAACCCCTTAATCACAAACTCCGCAATTGTCCATGGAAACTTGAAATATTCTTTGGGGTATGCGTTAGTCCATGTAAAACATTCATACATTGTTATTGCTAATGAAAATACATCAGCACTCTTTTTGTATTTTTCTCTTTTCAATATTTCAGGTGCCATGTATATTGGAGACCCAACACCCTTTGTGAATGTCATATTGGTCATTAACATATTAATGTTTCGACTTGATCCAAAATCAGTCAATTTGGCGTTCACTTTGTTGTTGTGATCAAATGAAAATACCAAGACATTGTCAGGCTTGATGTCTCTGTGTAAAATTCCATTGTTATGTAAATATGATATTCCATACGTTATGTCAATCATCATTTTAATTTTCATTTTTTGTTGTATATCACACTTTTTAAACTTTTTCATAACATTACTCAAACACCCATGTTGCGCAAATTCGGTAACTAAACACATTTTACTTGGTATTAACACTGCGCCATAAAAGTGGACTATATATTCACACCTAAATTTGTCTAACATCGCAACTTCCTTTTCAAATTCTTCATCATTTTTATCGTTATTTAAAGTGGTGTTTTCTCCACTTTGTTTCATCTTCTTTATAGCCACTGCGTTTCCTCTGTATTTTCCTTTGTAAACGACACCAAAAGACCCTTCTCCTAATTTAGATTCTTCGATCAACTCGTCGTAGTCTATGCGAGTTGATTGACTTGTTACTCCAATCATTAGAATTTCATTCGTATTTTCGACGTTAGTTTTGAGATTTTTTGAGACAATGCAAATTTTGTTATTTATTTGACATGTGCACTTTGGTGTCAAATATATTGAAAATTCGCACGCAAACTTCTTTTTTAACATGACTACTTCTGGTGATACCCTTATTGTAAATTTGTCAATTTGTGTTGTCATGGTAAATTGGATTTTTAAGACGTTTCTGGATGCATTGCCTACACAAAACACCATCTTTGTCTCACTTTCAACTGGGATCTCATCGATTTCTGAATTGAAATTGAGTGTTTTTGAGGAGACACAAATGTGGTTTGCAAGTAATACAAAATTAATATTTGATTTTTCCATTTTAAATATCGTTGTTGTTTTTTCCAACTCTTTTGTGTGAATTTTTTTCAAAATGTGCTTTACTGTAAAAACTAATATTATTATAAAACATGTTAGTACGATAATAATAAATAGA